AATGCAGTGATAGGCACTCAAAAATATGATAAATGGAGAAATAAGATTAGCTCCACTTTATGTACATTACATTCTTGATCGCATACTTTAATGGTGATGCAGCTGCAGAACTTGCTAATTACAAGCACTGCTTTTGTTTTCAGAGCTTCTGCATAAACCATTGTGTTAACAACTGCAGGCAGTTGCTTCTTTCTGTAAGTTGTCCTAAGAATGTGCTGCAGGTCTGTTCCCAAAATTCAGCATAATCTAAGTTAAAGAACTGCAGTATCTCTCCCCTATCCTTCCTCTTTTTCCCCCTTATGGCCCACGTAGCTGTGGCTAGAGATCACTGTGCTCAATGGTTGAATAAGGCCCTCATTCATCTGCTTTTCTCTGAAAGAGGGAAGAACGTTCTGCAGATTCAATCCAGTTCAGCTATTACCTTTCCTCCCTTTCTGACACTTGTTTTACTGCGCATTAGATAATGCCTAGCCTACTGCTGCTAGCAAAATTAGGTCTTCTATTGTTTTAACATTAATTATGGAGAGTTCAAGATAAGGTTTGTGTTAGAAAAGTAGGGGGTGGGAATGGTTTGAATTTGACTTTCATTATAATTAGGCAGGAAATTATGAAAAGGTGAAAAATAATTCACTGAAGTGCTTTTCTCTAGCAAGCTAACAAGAGAGTGCATTCTTGCACAGATGGAGTTCATGGTATATTATTGTAGCACCACTGTTTTAATGTATGCCACTGCTTGGGCACATTGAGCCTGTTGCTATTGCACTTTACATGTGGGCAGAAACGAGAAGGTTGAGGCCCTCTGGTTCCCTTATGTTCCATTGAGGTCCTGTTCTGATACAAAAAAATCAGGCTATATTAGTCCATGGCGTAACTCCATGGAAGCCATGTGAATTACAGCAGACATTAATTTGAACCATCAGTCAATTTCTGTGTAACTTGCAAAGAACATGAAAATATTACTATCGAAACTTGAATTAATTGGGCAGCTGTCTCCCTTTCATTTGTACACTACTGAGATAAACATTTGGACTAAGAAGCTGTCCTCATTATAATTTCCTCACTTGACGCCGCTTTGTGGCTGATGTTTCTGACCAACATAACTTCAATGTTTTCAGAGTTTATCTTTACATGCAATTACTACAGTTCAGGCTTTTAAAGGGAGGAAAAGGAGTTCACAGACTTTGCATGGAGCATCTGTGAAGCTGTAAAGACTGACAGCCACCAAAGTTCATCAAGTTAGACTTCTCCATGCAATATAACCATCCTGAAGTGCTCCCTTCATCACTGCCACTTCTCTCTAGCAATGGCTCAAAGGCCAATGAGGAGCATGCAAAACTCACTGTAGCAGACCAGCAAAACTTCAGCAGTGCTTGTATATACTGACAGGATGGTCAAGAAAAGGAGGTCCCTGCCATGGTACAACTGCTTTAATCCTTTTCTTCAAGGCTTTTTTTCCCCATCAGTGAGGACTGAAGCCCCATGGTTTGGCACACACATAGAAAAAAGCACATCCCTCTTTGTCTACAGGCTCCTTTATCTACCAGAACAGAACAGCTGAACAACTTGTTCGTAAGCTTTTTCAGCTTCACCCCCCTATTCAGTTCTGGTTTGCAGGAAAAACAAGACTTGGGAGAAGACCTTCAAGAGAGTCCATGGCAGAAGACCACTGAAGTTAATGTGGCTCTTGGAGATAAGGATTTTGTCCGTTCAGAGTCACGTAGCTTGAAAAATTATGTAAGGCAGGCTGAGGATGGGAAAGATTTTTTTTTTCTCAGCCTTGTTTGCGGATAAGGAAGTGAGATTCCAAGAGGAATGACTGACTTACCCAAAATCACACAGGAAATCAGCAGAAGATATGAAAATAAATGCTGAGAAGCATTTCAGCGCCTTAATCATAAAGCCATTCTTTTCTCTCAAATGCCAAAAACATTAAACATTCCTTTTCAATGGTGGAATAAACATGAGAGTTTCACTGACTCAAGAATGATGTTTTCATCTCAAATTTTTACAGCGTAAGCCATTTCAAGGCAAAATGGTTGGTCAGTATTATGGCCTGTGCCCAGCTGCAGGAACCAGGGATGGCAACAAACTGAACAAGCAGATCTGTGCGACTCCACTGACGATCCAGTCACACTAAGGTCGGTAAGCGCAATGTCAAGTAATGGATGTGTTTCATTGTATTTACCACTAATTATGTAGGCCATGAAAAATGTGGACTGAATTACTCTCTCGCTGGGAAGCTATCATACTGTTAGGCAGAGGGGATATCTGGCTTTGAGCAGGAGAGATTCACATCCCTTGTCTACAGACAAATCACTCATCACCTGTCGGTTGGGCCACCTCTGAGCAGTATTTTTGTCACTATGATGCCAAGGTAGCTGCCCACCTGAGTGCATTTTGTATCAATACATAACAGCCTGGGCCAAAGTCTGTTTCTGTTTCAATTAGCTTCAGTTCATTGTGTCTTAATTGAAAATAATGGTGTTACAGCAGTGATCAAAGAATCGTCTCATTTATTGTCTATTGAATCATTAGCTATTAAACAGAAATAAAAGGCTAAGAATGCAACATTTTGTTCTGCCCAAAAGAATATGAGTATCTCTCCAATTACAAGGAAACAATAAAGGCAGAATTAACAGTGAAATGATCAAAATTAGGTAAATACATCCAAAATGCCTGACAACTGTTATTAGAGGGTTTAGCAGTGTGACCACGACAGAAAAGTCAACACAAATCCAGAAGCAAAGTCAATACTGAGTTTACCAAAGGGGCTTCTAAAGGCAGATACACGATTATGTGAAAAAAAATATAGGCACATCCAGCATGTACTAAATTTTAACTCAGCTAATTCATCGTTATGAATTCGATCTTGCAACCAGTACCTGTATTTCCAGTTAAAAAATTAAGCACGAATAACACGCAGCCTGGAAGCACCTCTCAGTGGTCTGTGACTGAAATCCATTGTAAGGACACTCAAATTTTCACGAGAATAACATCACACCCATTTTGAGACTGTTTGTATCACCAAGATGGGGTAAGCAGAACTAAATAAAGACCATATTCAAACCTTTGTATTTTCATTAAGTTAGCAAAGTTGGGTACCAGTTCTGGGAAAGCATCCCCAAGGCACTGTCTTCTATCAGTGACTTGATGCCCAAAAAATTGCTCAGAGGAGTGAAACGAAGACTGGACTTGTCCCAGTGTAGTCATCAGAAATAAGTAAATAAAGGATGAGCTGGGGGAAAGTACAATGAAAATCTTATAAGACCAGTGTGGCATTTTGGCCATTGTTTTGGTCTGGTCTCCCCAAATCACTAAAAGAGATGGAAGGACCCTCATCAAGTTGAAGGTGTTTTGGAACAAATCTATTTCCACCTATAAATACAACTCATTTTTAAAAGCTAGAAAAGATGATGGTCAAAGGGCAAGAGCTTTGCTTTCTTGAAATCCAGGAAATCCAGGAAAGCAACTGGCAATCATGTCTCCGCTCAAAGGGATCACGTCAAGCTTTAAGTAGTTGCCAGCTTCAGTGGACCTTTTAAATTCAGGAACCAGAACAACTTCATAGCCAGCTTTGACAGGACATCCATACGGTCAACTGCTGATTGAACTAAATGGACTTTAAACAAGCAGCGCTTTGAAATAATGGAAGGGGAGTTCTTTCCCTCATCTTTTTGTATCTGGTTCTGTCCCATATTTTCTAATAGTGAGTCCTAGAAATCCAATAAACTCAACAGAAATAGAAGTCCACACATCATCTTTTATATCATTTTATCGTTTTATCTTATATATCGTTTTCTGAAGTGCAAAGAGGAGAAGCCTGAGCAATATGTTGATGATATATAACTTGGTGCCTGCGTTTATAACACGAACACTTCATTGTCAACTGATAAATAATAGCCACAATTAGAGACAACTAGCTGCATAGGACACAGCAAAAAAAAAAGAACAGCAAAATGTATCAAAATAAATTGTTCCTTTGAGAATTAAGTCAGTTATAAACAAAGACAGTCATTTACATTCTTTTTGGTAAGAGCTTTCATGGAAATTTGGTTACTAGAAAAACAAAATGTGATTTTTCTTTCCCCATCCAACATACAGCGAGAGCTCAGGATAGAGATTTGAGAAGCTGAAGGTAAACATCACTTTCATGAAGAGTCACTTTCATAACAAAGGAGTATTACACTGATTTCCTCTGCAGAATGCTTTGAGGTTTGGAAAGTGCCAGACATCACACTCTGAGGATCCAACTGCACATATGCCTTTTCTCACTAACTTCGTTCTTAATTATGAATAATTTGCCTTTGTGATAAATAGACATAAATGTACATGAAAAAGGTTGAAAGAAAGTAGAGTTAGCCTGACTGAGGCTTTTGCCCAAACCCACAGCATCTTTCCTAGGGCTACCTAGGATCAAGTGAATGTCATCTCTCATGTGAGAGTCTCCAAAACAGGACAGCCCTGTAAGCAGTTTAACTGCATAGGAATTTCTTTCTTGTTGGAATTAAAATGCAATTTAAATGTTGTTTGTTTGTCTTAGAGGATATGGTTTCTTCCCAGTATTGGTAATGAGCTCATTCGGTGTGTCAAAAATAGGAATTGTATTTAATAACGGATGCAGAAAACCCACATGAGAATAAAGATTCCTGCACAACAAACTGACTTTTCCCAAGAGGGATGTATCAGACAACACATTCTTTCTTGCTAGCTCTGGCTGTCCAGCAGCAAAGACCAGAAACACGCTTTCAGCATCCCGCACCCTCTCCCACACCTTATGGAAAGCACCAGCACAAATGGCTCCATGTCAGTCTACAGAAATGTGCTAACCCTGCATAACCTCTGGAGTCCTTATTGCACAGTGGAAGCCACCCACAAGTGGCTATGACTGTAAAAACCATGCAAAATCCCAAATGTGGGCTAGGTCCCGGTATACTGGTGGTGGAGAAGGCAACAGAAAAAACTTGCAATTCCTTCGTGCTCATCTCACGTGGGCACCTTACCTTTATGACGTCTTCATCAGCTGATTTGCACTCAGTGGACTCTGACACATCGACCACCGACCCATCCTCCTGCACTGCAACAACCTTGACTGGAACTGACACCGTTTTGCCCGTCAGGATGGCCGTGTTAAGGACTTCTGTGTCCTGTATGCACACACACACAATTATGGGACAGGCATTAGAGAAGCAAAAGGCACAGAACGCTGCAGAGATCAGACCACAGAACCAAAACCTTCTTTCGGACAGAAAGGGGAGTGACACTTCCTTGCACACAGCCTGTGAGCTCCCTGCAATCAACGCTGTCACAATTTTCCAGGCCAAGATTTGTGTCTGGACCACCAAATTCTGGTCTGACAGACATACAGATTTACTCTTTCTGAGCCCATTTACAGGTTTGGCTGTTATGGAAATGAAATCCATAATGCAACCATGCGCGAAGGCACATCTGTGGGTTGGCAGAACCTCAGCATGTTTCAAGCACCATCTCCAGGGGTGTCAGCGGCTCAGCCCACCCTTATGTCCCAAATCACGCCCTGGGTATAGGAGGCAATTGCCAAGCACTACAGCAACAGTATTTCTTTCATGCTGGTTCAGCCAACAGTTGAGCCAGTTGTCCTTTTTCTGGACATAAATATATGATTAGAAAAACCACGCATGAGGCATGCTATTACCAACTAAGCAGTGTCACATACAATTTTTCTAATCTTTCCCCATCAAAATCCCACCTGGAGATGTTTTACCACATTTCTCTCTAATCCTGACGAATTCACAGCACTGGCACTTTAATGACTGCATTAACACAGCCTTCCTCGGCATCTCAGTGTGGCTGCAGTTTGATTAATTGTGCCAAGTGAGTTGCCCAGAGGACCCTGCCTTGCGTAAGCAGAGCAGACAGGAGGGGAACAGCTCTGATGGAGGCCTGCAGAGGAACACGTCTCTTCTTAAGCACTGCTCACTGCAGGCCCAAAGCTTCACACCACCTCTGCATCCGTAGAGATTCAGCTCAGCCTTCTAGAAAAGCCTTCAAGAGGAAATACTGCTTTAAATCCATCTGCTGCTCATTTTTCAAATTCCATAAAACTAATTGCTTGCCAGTTGGGGGGAAAAAAAAAGTTGCTTCCAACTAATCTAACTTTAAATTCCATTATTTGAATTGGTGGAAGAATAAACAGATTTTAGTGGAAAATCTGATGGCAACTTGCATAGGAAAATATATTCACTATCATTTACTTCTGTCTGCTAGCTAGATTGATAGAAAATAATGGGCATTGACCACCAGCTAAGGACAGCTGGAGAAGTCCAATAAATACTTGCAACTAAGATATATTATTAATCAATATTCGGAAAGTTCTACAAAAAGCACCCTGAATTAAATGAGTAGAAGTACTAATAATGCTGGTGCCAGCTAACTAATATAGTCTAGTAGAGCTTTATGGGCAGTCATGTTCCAGAAAGGCACTTAAACGTGTACTCCAGTCCATTTCTGTTCAAAACAGCACTAAAAGTATGTGGCTCAACTTGACACTTAGACTTCTCTGTGATTTAAGCACATGTGTAAGTGCTGTCCTGAATAGAGATGCTTTTCTGAATTACACCTCATGAAATAAATACAATCCTCTTTGTCCTGCTCTCTGCCAGGCACCGGCCAGATGTTTCACACAGTAAATGACTGGGTTTTGTTTATGCTGAATGGGATCATTTATCACCAGCTGCCACCCATGACAGAGGGACACCAGCAAACAGAGATGTGAAAGAATAAAAGTGTGAAAGAACAAGTGGAGAACCTTTAGAAAGACTGAGGCTCCAACAAAACTAAGAAAATTCACTGCTCTGTGAGAACAGTTAGCTGCAGCACGGGTGGAAAGGGGTTGTGTAACCAGGTGAAGACGAGCGGAGGATGCTTGACACGCAAATACATCAGAGGTAGGCAGATGGCACCAAACCAATGGCAAATATGTCTCCACCATTAATTTGATATAAATGTGCTGAATACGTGATGTGGACATGGTGTTTTTGCATCCTGGTTTGTCAGCAGGACGCTTCTAAGGTGCTCCTCAACAACCGCCTTCAGTGCATCAGGAGAAGCAGTATTCTTGCCAAGGTCACGGACAGTGCACGTGTGCCTAATTGTGCTTCCAAACCCCCTATTCTTAGCACAGCTGCATAGCTCCTACGTGTCAGGGGCAGGCAGCACTCACAGTCCAATCCAAAGCCCTGCTGAACAACAGATGAAAGATTTCTTCTGACTTCAGTGGACTTGGAATCAGGTTCTCAGCAGAGCTAGCTGCTTTGCTTCTGCACCGTTTGTTTTATCACCCAACTGCTGACTGTCCATGGGACAACAGCCAAACAACCTCTAGTCTCCTATTAACTAGTAAGAGCTGCTCAGTTTCCAAGCTGAAGTCACACTTCGATGTTCTGAAGGATAATGCAGAAAGATTTACATTCTTCTGTGAACTCAGTGTGAGAGAAAAGGGCTCAGAAGTGACACGTTGCCACTCCTCCGTTGGTAGGTGCACTGCAATATGCTCACCTCTCTCTTGACACAGCACTGTCCTGAACCTCCCTTCCATCCCAGTAAGTGCAGATACCTATCCACAGTGCTAATTAGCTGGTGCTGCTTCACAGAGCTGCACTTCACTCGTAAGCAATTCTACCACAGAAATCAATGTTTCAGGTGCCTGATGCCTGCATCGGGTGTTACAATAGCATAATAGGCCATGTAAAGACCTTTTTAAGAGCTGGCTATTTATAGACTGACAAAATGTGTTTCCTCTGAGGAAGAAATATGAAGGCAGAACTGAACTAATTGACTGTCTGTTAGATTTATAAGCAGACCTCTTTTTTATTTGCATCTTCAGTAGATTCTGTTAGGTTTGTCTTCTATTTCCACAGCAAGGTTTTCTGCAGAAAGGACTGTCACTGCGTGTAAAACAACTCTGCTGGTTACTGTCAACATCACTGAGCTCTAGAGAGAGGTAATAACACTGGTTTACATGGGCAGGTACCACAGCATCCCCAGACATCTGGAGCACCACCCAGGGACCAGCGCCAACCTCTCACCTCCAACTCCCTGCAGCTTCCAGGTGAAAGATGGAGTCCTTTCCTACTTCCTCTGCCATGGGTTTATGATGGGATCTTGATCAAGATCTGGAATTTAAGCAGCTGGGGCAGAAACTAGACATTCGCTTTGCAGCACTATCCTTGAATAACAATTATGTGTGTGTTTATCTCCATTCCTTCTCTGTACCTGAATGCATTAGTACTTCAGCAGAACTCTTCTTAATTACAACTGTAACCTGCTAATAGCATTTCTTTGTTGTCTGAAGGAATCTACTTCTTATCCAGCCTAGGCTAAATTAAAATTTAATACAACATCAGGTCGCAACAGAACTAGGAAGCAAATGACAGCTGTTTAATTAAAACCTAAAGCTGATTAGATGGCACTACTGAGAGAAATACTCAAGAGGAAGAGTAGAAAACTACTGAAACTCAAGGCCAGGATAATGGCTTTATTTAAATATAAATAAACCCTGCACACAGCCTTGGTAAACGTTTGACAACTCATTGCTTTGGACAAATAGGGGAGAAATGTGAATGGGAGAGGCATCAAGAGCCACAGCAGGCTGTTACTGGGGATGTGACCAGGAGTAGGGATCCCTGAGGAACTCCAGGCACTGAGGTCTAATATTTAGGCTTTAAACAACGCCACTCTGACCTAAATCCTCACCAGCTCACTCACCCAACCAGTGCAAGCCAAGAAGATAGTGATGTATCACACAAGGAACCATCTCTGGGGCCTTATTACTCAAACCCCAGCCTAGGACCACCAGCACACCTTTCCTGCCCTTCTCCTTTCCACAGAAACCCTGCACTGACCCAATTTACTGTAACAGACATCATCCTAGTGATTAATATACAAACTGGATGTGCTTTTTCAGAGGTTAACCAAACACGCTACAGTACAGCAAACCCAATAAACACTCAATTGTAAATCAGGAGGGAAACCTAAAGCCAACCCTATTCCACTGACAAATGTTACAGCTAAATGCCTTTTGGCATTTAGTTGAAATGACTGTCTTTAGTGAGGAAGGCATAGACCCGAAACATTTGTCTGCAGAATTGCATTGCTTCGTTATTATTTTTTCCCCAGAGTGTACCTCATAAAAATTCATTTGTAACATTGGAAAGAATCTTTAGGAACCAGTTCTCCTGCCTGGAAATGGCATCTCTTAGAAAATGGAAATTATAGGGCAGGTTGTGATGTGTGGGCCGGGCCAGGAGATTTTTTTTTTTAATATTTGATAAATTATTCAGCACCTTTTTCTTCAGATCAAAGAGCAAGGCAGTATAAGCCCATTAAGCAAGCTTAATATATAAATTAGATGCTTTGCTGAAATTATTATAATCCAAAGCAATTCTGTACTTTTTGCTCTCATAGCTGACTACTGTTTTAGATTTCCAATACATATTAATGAAGTCAGGTTGCCGGAAAACTATTTCTGTGTACCACCATTAGATCAGGTAAGATTTACCATTTTGCAACCCACTGGTGAGAACAAACAACTAAGATTGTGTTTATTAAACGCATAAACAATCTTTGCAAAGAGCTCACATTGTTCTTTAATATTTTTCCTCCCTACTTTTACACAGCCAGTCCACATCACACGTGGAACCAGGCCCACAGCAATGCAGGTGGTTTTGGTGGTCAGTGCTGCTGAATGTCCTCAATGAAGAGCTGAACAGTGCTAATTTCTCATCCTGCAAATTTCACTTGTGAATTCACCTGCAAAATCACCCGCCTGCCAGCTTTTCAGGTGTCACAGCTACACACAAGTCCTTCAATGGGCTGATGGCTGACTAGATGATCTTAGTGGTCTTTCCAACCTTAATGACTATGATCCTGTGATTCCACCCCACCAAGCCACACCTGCTGCTTGAAGCTCATCCCCATTCCCCTCCAACTCCCTGTCTCCAGCTGTTCCCTCATTTCAGCTTTTATCCAGTATATTGCTATCAGGAGTCATCAGTTATGGCAGATGGTAAATCACAAATGCTGCTGTCAGAGTTAAAGGTCATCCTTTACCTCCTTTTGTTTACCTGCAAAATAGCTTTACTTCATATTGGGATCCCCAAGGAAGAAT